TTCACGTATGTGCTTGACAAACGTCTGGTGCTTAATAGTTACAATTACTGGTTTTAATAGTGCTTATGGTAAAACACTGTGGCGCAGTAACAACTTTCATGTATGTGCTAGACAAACGTCTGGTGCTTAATAGTTACAATTACTGGTTTTAATAGTGCTTATTGTAAAACACTGTTGTGCAGTAACAACTTTCACATATGTGCTAGACGGATGTCTGGTGCTAATAGTTACAATTACTGGTTCTAATAGTGCTTATTGTAAAACGTATTTAATTAACTGCTGCAGTAAAGTAATAGTTAGCATCGCTTACAAATACCACCACATTAAGTGTGAAGCCATTGCCTGTGCTATTAACATGAACCGTTTCTTAAGTGCAATTACAAGTTATATTATAACTGTAATAATCAAAGGTTACAGAGTGCGTTCGATCTCGACGATGTCATTTGCCCTAGAAAAAATTTGCGGAGATGCCAGATCTGTGTCTGAGGATCGGTCCATTCAATCAACGATAGTTTTCCCCTGCAGTCTCATAGTCCAGTCAGTATTGAGGATGTGTTTGGAGTCCAACCCAACAAAGTACTGGATCTTATTCGCGCTATGATTGGCCATTGCCAGTGTTGCTTTGGGGTACAGAAAAACGGTTGCCGTCAAAGAAATATGGTTTTCCTTGTTCCGCCCGAAAAAGCACAGTGAAACACACAACTACGGCTAGTGCACGTCCTTACCACATGACGTCATCTGTGACCGACATATGGGAAAATGGAATCTACTCAAGATTCCTCACTACATTATATATACGCATTCTACTTTTTATAGCATTAGATAGCCTTAAAATGGATTTTTATACCTACCACGGTGCACCAAAAGCATTATATGTAAGAAAGAACAATGCACAAGCTATCCTCTCTATTCCTCATCGATACAACAACTAATCTTACACAATACTGCTTTCAGTTAGATGCACCTAAGAGCGTGAAAGCAAGGCTTATTTTTTAAACAATGTCTTACAAGAATTTGATGCCGTATGCGCAATAAAGCACGAAGAGGCAAGGTAAAGTGAGGTATTACAAGCATGTACATGAAAACAGAATGATACAGGGGAAAAGTTAAGTTTTAAGAAAGTCGACTTTCATTCACTTTTATATCTAGTTAATTAAAGTATCGTACAAGTTGCTGAAAGACAATATCACGCATTTGAAGTGTTAATACTGATCCTCAGCGGGATGGGAAAGGTATACCTAAGTGTTCTCCTGTTTCTGAGGGGAGGGGGGGGGGGGGTTT